GGAAAAAGTTTATTTCAGATTACATTTTGTAGAGGTTTCAATCCATAGTCAGCTGGTTGCCAGACAGGGAAGCATGACAGAGCGGCATCGCATAGGAAAACAATCCATGGTTTGGCGAGCAAGAGGCAGCAGCAGCACACAGGATGCAGTATCAGCAATCCTCCCTTTTCCTTTAATCCCATCCAGGCTAAAAACCTTTTAGGTGATGCCACCCACATCCAGGGTGGGGTTTCCATTGTCCACACCCAGAATTATGCTAAACCAAAAACTGGGCTAATTTAGTTACCACATCTTTAATCCATATTCACACACCCTAGATCCAGCTCCCTCTGAAAAGCTCCACCTAGAGTGCATGAGGCTTTGGGGGAACATCTAGATACAACCCATAATAGCCCTCCTGTCAAAAATAATATGGCTTGCAGGTGCATGAATTTATTTGTGTGTCTTCTATTCCATTGATTTACATTTCTGGTTTTGTGCCAGTACCATGTTTTTGGGTTTTGTTTTCTTTTCTTGGTACTATGGCATTTGGTATTAGTGATGCCTCCAGTACTGCTCTTTTGATTAGGGCTGCTTTGGCTACTCTGGGTCTTTTCTGATTAGAAATGAAATCTAGAATTGCTTTTGCTATTCCTGCAAATATCTTTTGTATTTTGGGTTTTTTTTTTTTGGGGACAGGGTCTCACTATATAGTTGAATCTGACCTGGAATTCACGATGTAGCCCAGGCTGGTCTTGAACTCAAAGCGATCCTCCCGCCTTAGCCTCCCCAGTGCTGGGATTATAGGAGTGTGCTACCACGCCCGGCATATCTTTTGTATTTTGATAGGGATTAAATTAAATCTATAGATTTGTTTTATTAATGTGGCCATTTAAAAAATATCAATTCTAGTAATCTAAGTACAAGGTATGCCTTTCCATTTGCTACTAATGTTCTCAATATCTTTCTTCATTATAGAGATGTAATTTTCATTATAGAGCTCTTTAACCTCCTTGGTTAGGTTTATTCCTAGTTAGTAATTTTTTTTGCAGCTATTATGAATGGAATTGTTTTCTTGATTTCATTCTTGGTGGATTCATTATTGGTATATAGGAATAAAATTGATTTTTTTGGTGTTGATTTTGTACCTGCCACTTTGCTGCATGTGGTTTTCAGATCTCAAGGACTTCTGCTGGAGGTTTTTTTTTTGGATTTTCTACATAAGGCATTTTATAATCATCTACAAATACAGACAATTTGACCAACTTTGTGTATCTTCTTGGATCACTGTAGTTAGGTCATATGTGTCTAGGAATTTATGCATTTCTTTCAAATTCTCCAGTTTGTTGGAGTATAAATTCTGTAAATGATTACTGATGTTCCTCTGGATTTCAATGTTTATTATAATTTTGCATTTTTCATTTCTAATTTTATTAGTTTTGGCAGCTTTTTTTCTTTTGGTAGGTTTGGCTATGGTTTTAACAATCTTGTATATCTTTTTTTTTGGTGGGAGGTGTACCGGGGATTGAACTCGGGTCCTTGCGCTTGCAAGGCAGGCCACCGAACCGCAGAGCTAAATCCCTGGCCCAATCTTGTATATCTTATCAAAGAACCAATTATAAGTTTTTGAACCTTGTGTTTTTTGCTTTAGTTTCAATTTCATTCATTTTCACCTGGGTATTTATAATTTATTTTCTTCTACTTGTTTTGGGTTTGGTTTGTTCTTGCTTTTCTAGGACCTTGAGATGCACTATTTTGTTATTTATTTGAATTGACCCTTTTCCTAGTGTAGTCACTCATAGCTATGTAGCTGCCTCTTGAAATAGCTTTCATTATGTGCCACAGAATCTGATATGTAATGTCCCCTTAGAATTTATTCTAAGAATTTTTAATTTCTTCCCTGATTTTTTCAGTGATCCAATGGTTCTTTGAGTGTGATTCAGTCTCCACATGTTGGTTTAGTTTCTGTGATCATCCCTTCCTTCTCTCTAGCCACTGGCACACTTGATTCTAGTTATGGTGCACTTCTCTCAGTATATCTGTGGTCTATGACTTTAGTAGCAGCTGGGAATCAGGAAAGGGAAAGCCCCAGCTAGAAGCAATGTGGCATTCTCGCTCCAACCTCCAATGCTCAAGCAACTCAGCTGCCATGGTTCTTTAGATTTCTCTCGGGGCTTGTGCTTCCCTCATCATACATACTGTCTTAGATGAGTGTGTTAAAGTGACCTGTGAATGCTGTCTCATCCAGATCATCATGATGGAACCAATCCTTCTATGTCTTTTAAGACTTAAGACATATATACAAGGTCTTCTGCAGACATCTGTCTCCTTAGGCAGAACTGCAGAGCACTGGGACACACCAAAAATACTAATTCACATATATGGAAGTTTTTTTTGAGAGAGGATGTGTGCATGTAATGTGTGCATGGTGGAGGTTTTGATTGTATGCATGCATGTGCATGCCCATGACTGAGTGGTTGATTCCTGGGTCTGGCAAGATGATGGAGAATGAAAATGATGCAATGGTGATTTGACAGATGTCAAAGAATAGGGGAAAGTCAACATGAAATTTATATACAATTTACTTGTTTAATGGCATCAAGATAGAATAATCCTTTGAATCAATTTAGTAATAGCTAAAGTTAAAGCCTTCAAATGAGAGCTGTCACACTCATTATCCCACCTGTAAGACTTTCTCCACCCTAGACAGTGCTGTCATGGGCATTGACTATGATTGTTTCCAAGGCTATTTATCTTTCCACTCATCATTTTTTTCCTGTAACTATGCTAATATGATTTTAATCTCTTTAGAAATAAACAGACTCTTTGGACATGTCTTTTCTAATTTTATTGTTTTGCAATATTCTCTGATTTTATAGTGTTGTATCCCTGCCTTCATTAATATCCACTGGAAACTTTTTACATCTTGGAGATTTCACCAAGGCTTCCACATCTGTATGCATTAACGTGAGGAGCTCTTTCCCATTATGCCTTCAGATCACAAGTATAAGGACTGAATAAACCAACAGTCATTTGTCATATAAATCCCAAAAGGTATGGACATGCTGCCAACTTTGAGTTATCTGTAACATTACAGATCTGAGACATGCTAACCAGTGACTCACATATAACAAAGGCATATTGAATACTTTTTAAACTATCAAAACCAGATACACATTAGTTTAGGTATAGTTATTATCCAGTTTATCAATTAAGATACTGATAGAGTCAGTGACATGTTGATGTACTGCAGCATACAAACAACAGAAGCAAGATTTTTACGTAAGCAGTCTTTCTCCAAATGCCAGTCTCATATTCTGTAGCACACTGCTTCCACTCAATGGATAAAATAGGAGAGATGCTCAAATTCTATTACTTTGGAGAAATCAGTTTGGCACAATGTAAAGGGCACAGAAAAATTAATAATAATTTTCTAACTTTTGTGAGCATAAAGGAGACAAAATATGTTTAATGTCTGGAATTTATATAGATGCCTAATGAATGATAAATGTGGTATACAGAAAAAAATGGTCCCTTTCTATTACTTAAAATGTGGAAATAATGTGATCAGAGGAAAATGAACTGCCAGACTATCTTGTGACTATCTTCCCAGACCCCATTCTATGTGTCTAGGTAAGAGTTTCCTCTGAAGAATGGTTTCCTGTCAAACATTCTAGATAAAATTGGGCGTTAGAATCTAAATTGAATACACTCTGCAACTCCCTTTCTTTGACTGAGATAAAAGAATAGTTTGCTAACAATGGGGGGGGTGTTGTTCACATGTTTGGCTAATTCTGAGGTGCAAACGACTCAGAAAAGTCTGGTGGTGGGGATGGTGATCCGTCCCTTGTCATTTCAAGGCAAGCTGAGTGCAAGGCAGGAAACTAGAACAGTAAGGGCTTTTAGAAAACTTGAGGTCAATGCTCAGCTGTAGGACATTGGGTTTGTGTTACATTTCTCTCCTATGGTCCAAGAAATTAATTAAAATTTCATTAAGTATTATAGTCTGGTTTCTTCTGTGTGGTGGGATATCAGGAAAAGTAGCATGTTCATGCCTGGAGTAAAGAGATAGAAGTAAGAGAGCTGGATCGCCTCCACTGGTCCCTGAGTGCTGATAGCTGAAGCAATTACCTGCCTGGTACCAAAATGCCAAGAGGAAAAAACATCATAAGGGTCAGTGACAGAGGTCTGGTGCTGTGGCAGTAGGACAAGAAATCCAGAGCACACAGAAGGATTCCAGGGAAGTTTTCCATATTACAGGGAAAACACAGCATAACCACTTCCAGAAAATGTGATTCATCAAATTCAGTTATTAACAGGACAACGCAGCTCACTGATCAGGAGAATAGCTTTTGTTTTCTTGTTTTTTTCATTTTAATAAGGAAGGAATTACCATCATTATAGAACAAATTTTGTACAGAGACTAAAACCTGCTTAGCCTTTTAGTTTGGTATCCTTAATCTAACTGATAGATCATGAAAGAAGAGATGAGGTTCTTTTATAAATAAAGAGTAGAATTTAGGGTGTTCAGGGTAGCCAGGATCTATGCTACCCAGGATTTCCTTAAAGGTCACAGGCTGTGAAGACAAACAGCTGAGTGGTTTGACTTTCAACTGTAGAAAGGAATTAATGGTAGCACTTACACAAAAATATTTAGCTGAATTTGATGTGGTAAAAGAACCACTCTTATACACTATCAGTACTGTGTAGAGATCTAGTCTTTCTGGAAATCAGATTGTGCCAAAGATTAAATATATAGGACCACCAAATCAATAGTGTCTCTTCAATAATATTTGCAGAAGGCAATAAATTCACACGAGTTCATATACTGTCATGAACACACAAGTAAAAGACTGTTCACTTACTTATTGTGATTAACATACAAAAAAGTTGTACATCTACATTAAATCTTTATAAATTCCCAGCAACATTTAATAAGATTAGTATTTTTTTAAAAAGGTCATTTTCATCCTTTCCTAGGAAAGCATGGTTTCTCCCGAGGTTAGTCTTGAGTTGATCTTCTAGGGTCCTGGACAGAGCTCCTGAAAGGCCTGTGGAAGATGTTCTATCTAGGAGTAAAAGGATCATGGGGTGAGGACCTTGGTCTCTAAGGTGTTGAGGTCTCTTGCATGCCAGCATACACAGCCTTCAGCCAGCACCCCCTGCGTTCCATTGCTACATCAGCACTTGCAAGCTTACTATGACCCTTTTGGGGAAATGTCCTTCCTAGAAAATTTACTTAGAGAGGTTTGCATGGGCTCAACTGCTCCTGTATAGCATTCTCCATGCTTCCCTATCTCCCTCTTCACAAGAATACATACATTTCTGGGAAAACTCCTACTTTCTCCCTTTTCTTGTTTCTGTCTCTCTCATCTTTTTCTATCCTCTTTACCTCTTCTTTGTCAGCCTCTTCTCCTGAGATGATACAAGTTTCTGAGAGAAACTGGACGTCCAGCATCTCCATCTCTGCCACCATGCTGCATACAAAGTGATTGAAGAGGGAAATGAAAGTTAGATTTAAACAAAATAAAGGGGAAAAAGGAGAGAAGGAGCTGAGGAGAAAAGAGAAGAGGAAGAGGGAAAAGGATAGGAGGAGAGAAAGGAAGAAAGGAAAAATAAGAGGGGAAAAGGGTAGGGAGACACTGAAGAATAGGGTAAGGAGAGGGAGAGCAGAAAGGTGTGTGAGGCAGGGTAAAGGCAGAAAAGACAGAGTATTACGAGGCAGAAGAGAAACAGCAGCAAAAGATGAAAGAGAGAAGAGGACAGGACAGATTTAGTGCAGAGGAGGAAGGCAAAATGGAAAAGCAATAATAAAAAGGAGTTTGGAAGTGGGAAGGGGAGGAGGATATGAAAGGAGAAAAGGAAGAGTAAAAGAAAAGTGGAGAAAGAGAGAAGGTATGGATGAAAGTGTGGGAGGATTTATGTGATTTCAGATATAACTTTCCCAGGAATAGGCTGGACCCAACTCCTCCCTGCTTCTTCCCCCAGGATATTCTCTGCCTACCTCTGTCGCTTGTGCTGCAGTTGTTGGCGTTGCTCAGCAGCTGCCTCCAGAAATTTCTTCACCTTCCTGTTCTCCTCCTCAAATTTCTCCCTGAAAGGTTTTGAGGTAATTGGTCCATTCCCCACCTCCTCCCTTCAGCTTCCTTACATTCTACTGTGGAAAAAGAGCTTTTCACTGAGTGCACAGTAGACCTTTCCATAGGACAACTGGCTCAGTTGACTATGCAGATCTTCTTGCTTCGTCTGTAGTATCTTCTCTGTGGAAGTAAGCAAGGCAGGGTAGGGACCTCTTACCTCTGAGCTTCACTGTCCTTTCTATTGCATTGCATCAGGAAGCTCCTCAGTGTCTCTATATGGGAAGGAACCAAGAGAGCCCTGTGAGAGCTCATAGCATGAAATGAAGTTACACACATTATGAGCTGAAAGATGCTAAACTAATTTAAAAGGATCCTGATTCTTGCCCCCATGTCCCATTTCCAGAGTCCTTAGCACAAACTGGGCTTCTAGAGGACAAAACAGTGTCTATTGATCCTGTTGGCCTTGGCACATAGCAAGGAATCTGGAACAATTGCCATATATTTACATGAGTGGAACAGAATCTTCAGATTCCAGAACAGATTGTGTGTATGTGTTGCTGTTTCTGTCCTCCATAGCCTGGCACAGAACAAAAACTTAAAAATGCCTATTAAAAATGAGCACTTTGTTCTGGGATCATTTACCCTGACCAGTAAGACACTGGGTTTTACACATGACAAACACAGATACAAATACATGGCAAAGGTGGGCTTCTAAAAAACATCCAGGGTGCTCATGTTCTTGGCCTCTCCCATTGGATGATTACTTTTTCCTCCCAGAAGTGGTGGACAGATATGCGGATATACAGTGGGATGAGTAAATGATTAGATAGATACATAATGGGTGTTATGAAGATATGGTTGGATAATGAACTGATGGTCAGACAGTTGGCTAGATGAAGAAATTGATGAGGAAAAACGATGCATCGATGAATAAATGGTGGATGACTTGTGAATTTATTGATGGTTGGATGCATGATAAAGTGTGAATGAACTGAGATACAGGGGTAGACAGGACAACAATAAAATGGATAAATGGCTGGCTAGATGGATCAATGTTGTTAGTTCTTGGTTAGATGAATGCATGAGGAGATGGATGGATTGCTGGTTAGCTGGAGTGAAGAGGATCAGAAGAGTCGATGCATTGGATAGATGGAATAGATATAGGAGGCTGGGTAGATAGATGGTTAGTAGGATGACTGCACGGATGTACAGATGGTTAATTGAATTGGATACTGCTGCTTAGTTTCTGCTTGGCTTTTAAGTCTATGTGGATTCTTAGGCATTTTCTCCATTTCATAACCTGGTTTCCTCTTGCTATTTTCCTCAGGGAGTCTTGGCTAAAAAATAATAATCCTTCATCCTGGTAGGAATTAATTCAATTTAATTCATTCTACCCACATTTATTACATGAATACATTAGATATCAGACCTTGGGTTTGAGTTGGTAAAAACCCAGTAAAATAAAAAGAAGGTATTTATTGTCATAAGGGAATCAATAGACTAGCAGGGGGATTAAATACCATGCAATTAATTATGCTCTTATTTACAAAAATTACTATCGTAATGAGACTATAATTAATGAGTAGAATGTTTCAGTCAATGGCAAATTCAAAAGCTTTGAAATGTTCCTAACAAATGTCTGGGAATTATGAGAAGGCTAGCATAACCGAAGTGGTCTTAGTCAAGAGAAGTGCTAAAAGGGGGCATGGAGAAATGCAGAGGTGAAGGGGACAGGTAACATTTAGTCTGCAGGACAGGCTATCCTGACAGGATATCTGTATTTACTATAAGTGAAATGGGAAATAGAGAGGGTGCCTGTTATAGAATGAATGTATGGATGTGGCTTAATTTTGGTTTCAACAAGATTCATCTATAGGGCGGAGTCATTCTTGAAGTGGCTACTGCTGAAGCAAAGAAAGACAGCACAGCTATTAAATACAGTACCTAGCCTTTTCCTCATGATGTCCTCCAGATGCAGCTGCTCTAGATTCACTGGAAAAAAACAAAAACAGTGACAGTTTTAGACCTCAAGGACCACACACTGACCTCCTTCTACAACTTCAATTTCAAGGTAGGGACTTCTGTGATGTCACACAAAAAAATCTTGCAGAGATCCAGGAGGGGCCTGAGTATCTTCCTTTCATTCCATTTGTTTTGCTATTCACTCTGAAACCAGCCTTCTCCTCTGTGTGCGCATGGTCCCTGTTAGTTCTAAAGAATTACAGCATTTAGAAAATAAATTGTGAATAAGATGCAGAATGAACTTGGTTTTATACAGACCTTACACTGCATTGGACAGATATAATAACAAAGACA